CTGACCTAAAAACTCGATTCTTTTCCTGTAGATGTATAGTTCCTCTTTTCGAAGTGAATTTACTATACATGAATTTACTATACATTTTTCTCTTTATACATTTCATCTAAACTTCCTATCAAAGAAATGATATGATATATAATTTTGTATATATAAAATTAGAAATCTGAATAAAATTATGTTAGATATTATATAGAGAATTTAATTACAATCACAAGGAAATTTTCATACAAGTAAAACTTGACGTAGCTATTTCAGAACGTATTTTGTTTCATTCGTCATCGATATATTTTTCATTGGAAATAAGTTGGACATTCGAAAAAAATTAATATTGTAAATCAGTATTTTACGGAATTTTACGGATGTTGAAAAACCTTGTCTCTTATACTTTAATTCTGGAATTGAAATCTCGTTTTCGTGGCGAACGTGTTTCCGATAACGCATTGCCGTGCGCCAATGGCAGCAGCCAAAACCGATGGATGCAGTAGGAGTCGTAAAAGCAACAACACCAATCTGGATTTCGTATTTTATTGACAACGCGCCAAATTCCCGGATTTCATATTTATGACTGGCCAGTCGTCTTCTCCTTCGTGTTGTACCCAACACGTCGCTCATTCGAGCGTTCATCCCGTGAAAGGAGACGGACGCTGACCGGAGCTCCAAAACAGGCTGCTACCCGTTTCGTTCTCTCTCTTTCCTCTCGCTCCCCTCCTCATCTCAGCAGCCATAAATTTGTTTCGTTTATATGACCGTTTTAAAATCATTCTTCGGTCAGGTGTACACCTTGTTAAGGTCTAAACTCGTGGCTATTTAATCGCACGAAACTTGTGGCCATCGTTAGTACGATTCTAAAGTTCCACCTACGGCGCGTACGTATTTTTTTTGTATTTTTTTACTCCATAAATTGATTACGAAAGATGCTTTTAATTCAAATATCGATCGACAGAAAGAGAAAATATTCTAAATGATTTTTTTATTCGGTATCAAGTATGATGTGTGTAATTGAAATGAAAATGATGAGGTAATTATTACAAGTAGTTTTGTTTGCTACTTTGGATAATTTTTAGATAATTTTTTTCAATTTCTCTTCAAGTATCACGTTAAGAGTAATCTCGAAGCTCGAGCTGAAACGATATTACACCCTCTGGGTAGCAACCCTATTTACCTTGAAAATCCATTTCGGACACATCTCGATTAGTCCGCCTCGATTGGACGCCTACGACGTGATATTCCATTACGAAGGAAATGTAAATATAATTGTAGCGTGCTGACATAACGGTAAGATAATCCGCCGAGCGGAGGCGCTGCCACTGCAATAAATCGTAATTTATGATCCCTATATACGCCCGCTGGTATCGCCGAGAAATTCAAGACTACACAGACAGACTAGAACTCTCCTCTCTTCTCCGTCTCTTTCTTTTGAGTTCGTCTCTCTCTGTTTCTGTTTCTTTTTTTTTTTGCTTATTCTTTCCTTCTCTCGTGTTTGTTTCTACCCGCTTATCTCGCTTTCACTTTAACGGCCAAGAAAAAGCAGAGATTCTCGATCTAGGTCCAGTCGATGAGCATACTTACAATGTGCTTGTCTTTATAATCTATCGCCGTCTCTGTCCAGGTCTCTCCAGCTTTATTTCTCTTTCTGACTCGGAGATCCACTAGTTTCTTCATCTCTGTCGCACTCGATAGAGTTTCGTTTATGTCTTGTTCTCTTTGCTTCCTCTCGGAGTTCTTGAGCACCAATAAATTAATTGTCGAGATTTACGTATCTTGCCCGTAAACCAGTCAGCGAGACTAATGCCTGGCCTCTAATTACATAATTATATAGCATTATGTTACGACGGTCAATTAATACGTACGTACAATGATTCGAAAGCGCGATTTGCGATTCGCGATAGTAAATTATATTTCCTTGCGATCTTACGCGATTTCACACGAAGTGTCATGCTTCGAATTATCGAATGTGCGCATAGTGAGTAGTTGTATGTGCCGCTTCGATAAATGATTATAATTTATCGTCTATGAGGATGACAGTGAACGCGCGCCGGTTATTACTTCAGGGCGAATATCAAAAGAGATTCCTGATTTTAATCGTTCGCTCTTGCATATATAAGATTTTGTATCGTAATAATAATGGTTTTTTTTTTAACAATGTGGGAATGCATCCGAGATCGTAGGCCGGCATTAACTTAACGCCGCCGCTCGATTTTTCGAGATTTCACTTTTCCTTCGCTGCGTAGATTTCGCAGATCGCTCTTTCGAGGGGTTTCCTCGATGACTATTACTTCCTCTCAGGGACGCATTTCGCGTGGTTCAGAAGAGACATTTTTCCTCAACGGGAAGGAAATACGGTATGGTACGGTACGAACGAGCCGGGGGTGGAATATGAGATGCGGGCAACTGATTTATTTAAGGGGCAAGCCAGACATCCGGTTTGTCGAATTACGCTTTAAGAGTGCCCGTAGTAGACGGACTGGCAGATACAAACAGAGACGAACGACGGGACGGACGTACGAGCGAGAGGCAACGACGTGGAACGAGAGCGCGTAGCTCGTCGACCCGTTAACCGTTTATCATTGCATCGACACGAGTCACGCGGTGGACCCTACTGGCCACTTAAAAAACGGCGATTCAGCCTTTAGTAGGAAGTGACGTCAGCTTTGGAGGTATACCGTGAACCACGTCTCTAAACGCGACGTATATAAACAGCTTCACTTCAACAGCTTTCATCGTACGACTGGAATTTATCGAGTGGATGATGATGATGATGATGATGATAATGATGATGATGATGATGATGATGATGATGATTCGATGAGAATATTTATCTAAAATTTCTCAATAATTGTCGCGTTGATCGCGGTATAATCATTTCGAGATCTTAATATGAAATTTAACGATGCGTTTTAATCGCTGAGTAATTGCTCAAGAATTCTAGCAGCTATCACATGACTTTTGAATTAATTATACGCGGTATATGCTCCTTCAAGGTAGTCTTATTGAAATGATATCGCTTGGCCAATTATTGTAAGCACGGTCTGAAGATTATCCGCCTTGACAACCATGATCCCTCGTTTTGCATTGGGTGCTAGTAGGAAACGGTCCGGTGACAACCGATGCATTATTAATGTCCCCCTTACTCGTTACCACTCTCGTATTTACTTGCTCGTGCATTCTATCGACCCTTGCATCCCTGGGCAAACAGCCGTTCAAGAATCGTAAGTAATTAGTCAAATCGGAGAGTGACTTCTCATTTCGTGCCCATTGTGTTCTCGCCTGAGATTTTCCGACAAGAAAATTTCTTTGTTCAATTACGTCTTGTGAATCTCTTTTGAATTATCATTACAGTACAGTAGGAAGCTTTCACTTGCATTTATATATCTCATTTAAACTGCAACATCTTTTGATTCTTTTCTGAGTCGTCAAGTTTTGTGAAAATCTAAGTTATGATAGCTCTTAAAATACATTTGAGAGGTAAGAACAAAATTTTTCATTTTTTTTTTTTTTTTTTTACTTGAAAGCAAATTGGCGCGCAATGATATATTTACAGAAACTTAATATATAATTACAAATGCTTCAATGGCTGTTTATTTATTGTTCATTATGTACGGTATAAATTTTGTCCTATGTTCACATTGAGGTTTCCAGTAAAGCAGTAAATTCACATGATTCGCATCTCTGCTCTAGCAGATCTTCTAGAGTTGACCGTGTAACGATTTCAGGCGAGATACCAGAGCAGGCAATCGAGGGAGGGAACGAGTCGGTACATTATCGCGAAGATGACGCCTATGACAGCATGTGGGAGTAGCTGTCACTCATTGTTGCTTGGCCAGACGTGATATACCCAGACATTTCGCTTCGTGATATCGAGAGATTCGCCCGCTTCAAATTCTTACCCTTCGACCTCGGGACGGGATCAATAAACTGGCACGTGCAAACATCATTTTTTTTAATTACGTTCTATAAAAAGCGCGAAAAATTATTTTCGAACTGATTGAATTAATTTGATGTTAAAATATGTTATTTGATCAAAAGAAATTGTGTTTGAGTTTTTTGCTTGAAAAATAACGTCAGTGACACCGAGGATCAGTTCGTTCGTTTATCATATATGATTATTATGAAGAATTATTCAATGAATTCTCTTAACGCTTGCTCATCATCTGCCTGTAATAATACTTCAAAACACGTTAGCAAGAAGCGACGAATTGCTTTACATTCATCTATGATTTATTGTTCGTACATTAATCGAATAATTTATGCCAAGGGGAAAAGTTTATTAAACTCATAGGTGTTTTTTTTTTTTATGTTTTGACGAAAATTTCAACGATGCGTAATTAATCATTTGAAACATTTTCTGATTTATCTTCGTTCATCCAACATTTTTATTCGAAAACAATCATGCCCTTGTATTTATTGCCGATGCTTGCACATTATCGTCGAACTGATTCAAAACAAACTGACGAAAATATAATTCCGCGCGTGTCCCGACGCGAATCCTCAGACGTCTCGTTTCTTTTCTCTTACAGCGGGAGATTCTCTACGAGCATCATTATCACACGGCTACACCTACGGAATAAACGATTGAATATTTACGGCGGACGTTCGTCGCGCGCGCGGCTTCTCCCAGTAAATCCGTTGATTCGTAAGTCGTGCGCGTCCTGTCGGACTCCCCCGAATCATTTAAGTATGCCGGCAGCATTTTCGTGGAGAGATACGTGTGCTCCGTCTTTAATCGAGATCGAAATCGGTCTGACGCGCGACCACCGATGATAAACCCGTGAGAAATCGCAAAACATTTCTTTGAGAAATCAGAATTCAAACTGGGTATATTAAATGGACGATTAAAATTGGTAATGACGAGACATTCTACTTCACGACGAAAACAATATGTCAAGGCAAAATTGAAAGTGTGAATCAATATTCAAATAAATATTCAAATATTCAAATAAAACATAAAGGTACGTAAATGCTATAAAAATTAATATACAATTTTCTCTGAATTATAGAGGCCGCCTTCCTCGTCGCTCTCGTATCCCGGCGCGGGTGCTAATGACGATGCCCGTAGTCCCGGAAGTGGCGGTACACCCGGACCCCTCAGCCAACAAGCGCCAGCCAGCCTAGATTCATCGGACCCTGGTAAGTTCGATCATTATTATTGAACAAAGAATATCTACTACAATGAAATAATAATTTCATTTACTCTACATCTAGAATTTTTTTTTTAACGATCAATTATATAGAATGTATAGTTGTGCATCTTGGAAATAACTCGATGTTGGGTGTAATAATGAAGGTTGTGTCAAGTCGTAAATACACGTGCGCGTAGGTGACAAGCTAGAAAGAATTTTCAGATCGATTGGTAGCGACGGATCGATAAGACTTAAAGTAGGTCTCTTTCGCGCGCGGGGCGAGAAATGTACGTCCAGGCACGACTCGCGCGGGTGACGACGGCTAGGCGAGCTAATAACAATATCACGCGACGAGGAACGAGTTGATGACAATCAAGACGCGCGGCTAGTCGGGACCTCACGGACCCCTTCTACACCCCCTTCAAATTTTACGAACACGGACACGAGTGTCTGCACCATCAAAACTCGCGGCGAAGCCACGGTCGGCCTAATGAGCAGTCTGTCGCATTGGCGTAGTCAACAAGAATATTATCGCACAATAACAATAAATTACATCACATTTCACTTCTTTAAATGAGCAACGTTTTTTCCTACAGCTGCAAAGACGTGATATAAGATCGTCTTTTTGGTCCCCATTATATTTATATAGACCTTTCGCCACAGAGAAAAGTTACATCCTCCTGTTACATGTGCCCTGTTATATCCTACTACAAAGTGATAACGAAAAATGTATTTCTCTGTATTTTCTCTAATTTATTTGATCGTTAACGTATGGTAACGAGAATGTCCGTTGGAATGGTCCGAAGGAAAAATTCGATAAACGGTGAACAAACCGCGCCAATGGTTAACGCGACCGGGTTCAGTCAGTCACCAGAGGGTATACAAGTTCACGACATCATCCCATAAAGATTCATTAAGGTCCGCCGTTCTCTATATTCGTTCTGTCGTGCCAACATTATAGTGCCGCGTGGCGTGCCAGTTTGGCCGGGCGTGCACGCACATACATACGTGTACACGGGTGAGAAACAAAACGGTTGATCAATAACAATCATAAGCGTGAGTTACGCTGGCCGCTGAACGCTGGGCGGAAAAGAAGAGACTGATGACCGCCGATAATTGGAGAAAGAAGGAGAGCGAGAGAGGAGAAAATAATGAATGGTGGCTTCTCTGGAATGGTGCTGCGTAATACTCAAATTAAGAAGCATTCTCCGTTGCATCCTCCGTTGTTGCTACGGTATTCGGCGATGCAAATGGAGCGCGTGCAACGGCCATTTCGTGACAAGATACGAATCTGCTACGCGAGATTTGTCGCGGAAAAATGTTGACGAGGGTCTCGCGCGAGTTTCTTTCAGCGTGCCCGCGTGCTCACCGTCGTTTTAATTCCGTCAAGCGCTTACGAGTCGCGTTACAAGTTTGCAACTCTTGCTTTGTAAGGTGAACGGCCTAATCGTTTATCTAAGTTGTATATCGATAATTGGTACATAAATGCAAGTGGTTTGAATTAATGTTTTTAGAAAGCAATATGCTCTCAGAGTTTGAAAAACTTACGATCGTACGTATGATCATTAGATCGCTATCGTACCTACGTTATTACTTTAGAAGGAAGAGATACTAAATGTAGAGGAGAGGGGAGGGGGAAGAGGGATACGATCTTTCTGTTACTTGTAAATTACAAAATAACGTTGGCTGATTCTCATTCCCCGAGGTATATATGATAGTGGCTAATGGAAATTTTGCGTGCCGATACATTTAGGAATATATTTGAACGGTTTAATTGTAAATTTAGAAATAAGGAAATAAACGTATAAGGAAATGAATTTTGCAAGAGAGATACGAATAATATTATTTAATAATACGTTACGCGAATATCATTATCTTCTCACCGGCCGAGAAGGCTTCTTTGAGGCTTGCACACATAAATTTTCCCCACTCTCTGTATATATAGCACACATCCGACAATGTTAAGTCATCTTCAGATTTAATATCCGCGAATTGAGCGTGCGTGTATATCGCGCGCACGGGCTACGGGTTAGTTCGTGACCAGATATCAATCTCCGCGCGCGAGATCTGTCGTGAAAGAGCGTAGAACCCGAGAGGCTTTCGCACGTGGCCGCTATAGAAAGCGCGCGCAGCCGTTGACGCACGCGAGATCGCGAGAGAGAGGAAAAAAAAATTGACGGCTCTCCCGCACGGCGACAGGAACATGATAATCCGCAATCGGCGGGCTTTCACCGAGCGAGGATAATGCGCGACGATAATGCGAGATACGTCTCCGCTCGCCTTGTCGCTCTATTTTCCTTACGTAAGCGTGATCCGATAGAGGCTGCTCCGATCGAGGCTGCTGCACTCGACGCCTCGGAAAATGTAAATTGTCTCCTTTTGCATAAAACGAGAGTACGCCTGGCTTAATTACGTATAATCGATCGAAAGAATGGTAAAAGAACTTAATTGACATGCGTTAGATTTGCGGAAACACCATCGAGGCTTAGGCAACAAATCGCGCCTGTCAACATAAATTATAGTTTTACGATAAGAACACCGGTGACATTTATAATTATCGATTAATTCGATATAATTATTATTAGATTAGATTACATTATCTTACAGATCTCGCGTGCGTGACTAATAACGATACTTTTATTTTTTTGATATCACAATCGAGTACTTGATTTTACTTTGATGTTTGGACAAAAATTGGGGTAGTTTGCATCGCTTAATCTCCATTATGTCGCGTCGCGTATCTCGCATCGCGTATCTCCAATCATGGTGTGCAACACACTGCACGTACGTGTATGTCATTAACGCAAAAGCACGTCCGCGGGCTTCGAGAAGCGAGGAAACGATACGAGCGTCGAATACATTAACGAACGCGATTGCTCGCAACGAATGATCGTTTGCATCGCCGCCTCGCCTCGTATAAATTCGCTTCCAAATGTCGGCTAATGATATAATAAATCGATTTACTTTCAATAAACAACAAGACGCGCAACGCTGTCCCTTGTTGATTTTTACCAACCATCTGACACACTACCGTTTTCCAAGTACTGTGCTTATTCTTCAATACTTTATATTAATGCAAATTTAACGTTGATCAACTGGAACGAAGATGAATTATTAAATGATAATATGTCGTATCGCGTATTATTAAAGTTTGCAGTTTTTTTCAAGGCAACCAATTGCATTCATTAAATTTAATAATGAAGGAGTAAACTTTAAAATATCAAGTATGTCGATGTATCCATCCGCGCGCGACGCTTTACGACGATATGAGAAACTGTTTGGGTTGTTCGGGGTGTCTCAACCCCTTGTAAACAGCGAGTATTGACGCATGAGTAGACTTCCTTACGCGTACATACAACCCAAGTTGTACTCGCGTTGGCTGGTTACTTAATGTTCGAGATGCTATCGGTACATCCGGGGGAGTTGTCATTGTACGACGCGATATTTGCTCGTTGTTCGTTTTCCCTCCTTCTTCGGTCTATCCGCGGTTTTTTCGTCTCTTCTTTCGCCAGGGCTCCTCATTAACGCGCCAGCTTGTTTGCCGCGAGATATCATCGTGAACCGAGTCCGTTTTTCGGTTTTCGCCTCCTGCCTATCCTCGTGCTAGACCATCAATGACATCGGTGGACCTAATTTGTATTCCATCACTCGTTAAATGATAATCGTCGCGGTGGTTCGTCACGTTATAGCTCGCGAAGCGATAGCTTTCCAGCGATATATTCTATTATACTGGAAATTGCCGGCGTTAATGGTTACTTTGACGAAACGATAGTTACCCGATAAAAATTTCGAATTGCTGATGAACTTATGTAACGTGTACGTGGTAACGTTGCACGAGAAAAATTACGATCTTGACCTTTTAAAGACCGTCGTAGTGAGACTATCGTGTTTAGAGAAGAGATACAAACTGTTGTACTGTCATATTTATTCCAGTTCAATAATACAACATACATGTATACAATTAAAATCAGAGTGTAGGTGATACATTTGATATTCGTTTTTTTTTTTTAAATTGTTCACCGTTACACGACATTTATGTCGCCTCATCTATCGTCAAGTGACACTTTCATGAAAGCTTCTCGATGGAGACGTCACGTGCGTCAGCCCGGAATGTTTTCCAGGACGAAGGCTGGAAACTCGCACGCCGCCGATACGTGGGAAGAGCACGGCTCGGGGCATTAACATATCGTGTCGCAATCGCTCGCGGATATAAACACGTTTCTCCTAGCAGTGGTTATAAAAGATTCTATCTCAGCCTGGCTGACCGATCGAGGCGATACACGGCCTCGAGGAACTATGCGTCGTGCGCTACGAACGAGGTAAATATACCAGCGCGCACGATAGCGATAGTCGTACGGCTCTCGTAAAATTTATCTCGCGTACGATACCTTTTGTTTTTCACCAACGAGCGAACGTTAATTCCCTCTCTCTTTCCCTCACCGTGCCGATCAAATGTGCGCTTCCTCTCGATGCTATTTTCAAAAAGCGCGGTATAATATTTTCTTTTACCGCACATGCTCGATGCTTGTCTAATGTTTCTTTTTTTTTTTTTTTTTTTTTTTTGTCATCAATCGTATCATACTTAATGATCATAAATATGCAGGACAATCGTTAAACATACTTTGTGCGGATGAGGATAGTCATTTTAAATTATCTGCCATCTAATCTCGGTTATTATGCGAATATGTTTTTAAAAGCATTTAGAGAGAAACATCTTGAAACATATATTTAAATATCAATGCGATATAAAATTGGAATGTGTATATTTGCTTTAAAAAAGTCGGCTCCTCACACCTCCACCGTAAGAATTTTTGTCGACGCTTACAACGGACGAAGGAACAATTTACCTAATTATATGACAAGATATTTTGGTCATTTTGGCAATGTCTCTCAAGAGCCTTTTGTTAGGTTAATAGAGTACCACCGATTAGCATCTTACCTTGAACACGACTTATCTCTAAAGTGATCGCATGCTGGTCGATCATTCTATCTTTAGAATATGCACTA